AGGGACGGCTAGCGCAGATAGCCCTCGTGTAGCTTTGCGCGAAATCCATAACAAACAAACAAACGTATCAGAAGTTCATTTTGGCATTGTTCATGCGTTACGCTGGTAGTATGATGCCGTTGAAACTGTTCACTTTTGGGAAAGATACGTAAAACCCTTTTCCAACGCAAAATATTCATACAGTCAATCATAAAGATGTGTTCAGATTAAGGATTTAGGACTTACGTAACGAGAATATGTCATTTACCCAATTGCATTGGAAAATAAAGGAATGTGAATCAAGCACCAAGACCAAGCCGTGGTAAACAAAATTCAGCGTCATGTAATCGATGCTTATCCACGAACACAAAGGCTAAGTCAGTGCAAAACCCCCACATACCCCACGTAACAGTACGGAACATAATCAAAAAGGATTTCCGACTGAAAAAGCGACACAACTTACATGTACTCAAATAGCTTCCACTACTTATCGTTGCATATCTCAAGGAGTTGGAGAATGAAACAGGTATTCGTGTATTCCTATATGAAAACATGCTGATAACAGTGTTTTCAGGCAGGAGTTATTAGTTATGTTTTCAAGGTTTTCATATTCCGTAAATAACAAAAAAAAAATCAGATACACCACTAGAAAGCCCACCAGTCGCCTTGTTGTTATTATATGGAGCTTTATGGCAGTGGTTCAGTGCTAAGCTAGAAATCGAATTTCACAAATAGCTCGTTCTGTAACTTTGTGCTCAACAACAAACAAATAAGCAACACTATAAAAACAAACAAGTAGACTTATATTTGGAACGCTATTTCACTGTATTAAAAATAGTTATTTTTAAAGAGACATAATTAAACGAAAGAGTAAGATTTTCTAAACGAGTTAGAGGTTCATTTTTAAGAAACCCCAGAGTAACAACGAAGGAATAGAATTCGCGGTTCGCGACCCGTTGCTGCAAAAAATGCATTTAGCACTTTGTTGTTGTAGGTGCGTTGTAAAAGTGACAATCAAATCCTACTATTCGATAATCTAAGAGCTGCTGTTGATTAGTTGCCTTCTCTCTGGTGAATCATTTCAAAACATAGCCCCTGTGTAGCTTTGCACGAAATTCTGTAAAAAAAAATGAAAACTGATAAACACAGAAAACTAAGTATATGTTATCAACAAGCTTATAAATCTAATATATAAAGCTTTGTTTGTTTGTTTGTAATTAAGCACAAAGGTACACAATGGGCTATCTGTTCTCTGCTCACCACGGGTATCGAAATCCTGGAGGCATATATAAAGCTAAGTTTGTGCCTATTCCTTATACGTTTCCACATTTCTTGATCAATCAGCACTTAACTTGACACAGTGATACAGGATGACATGAGGAAGGTCATGAGGGGGTTAGATCCCCATCATCTAATTTCAAATTGATAGAATTCTTGAAAACAGTATGTCTTTCTTTTCAGTGTTGGTACCTTTATGTATTTATATTGCACTTTTAATGTTCATTATGTTAAGAAAAAAAATAGAAGCATAATTTTTTATCCTTTGTTACAAACGAGTTTATATTTCACCCGTCCAGCGGACGAGTACTCCAGTTAGTATGTTATTGACGTTCAATTATCACATATGCACATATGTTAATTACGTTCAATTATCACATATGTACATATGTTAATTACGTTCAATTATCACATATGTACATTAATACGTCTTTGCCATCACACTTCATTATCAGGCGAACACTAACGTATTGAAGAAGGGTAATTTGAACTGAATTTTATTTTCTAAGTCTGCGAAAATCAAAGTATCAATAACAGAAGTATATTGGTATTAACTATAAGAGAACAATTATCTATAAAAACAAGAGATAACTGCATATTAAACTCTAATTTAATTTGTTGTCAAATAGATAATACAAAGTAGGAAAACAAGCTTTATAAAACAAATCATTAAATAAGGCTCAAAACAAATGAAGGTGGTTTACAACCCTTAAAACATTACCTTAAATTTCAGTATATCTGGAAAAGTTTAGTCTAAATTCACACTCTTAACAAAGATTAATACAGATGTCAATACCTTTGAAAACGAAAGGATTAAAATTTGCAACAATAAAAGATGCGTTCAGATCTAATCATTGCTGAATAAGAACAGTCTATATTCTTACAATCCTCACAACGAGTTGATAAAAAAAAACTATGAAAAAACAGGCTAAAGTGGAAATGTTTTTTTCACCAAAAACTTAGTTTATAGACAAATTTTCAGTTTTTACGTTACTTGATAAAGAACAACCAATATTTTTTTATCCTCGCAAGAAAAAAGGTTGAGTTGGTAATTTTTTTCTTTTTGTTTTAACTGGCTGTATTGTTTGTTTTGAATTTCACGCAAAGCTACACGCTAGCCGTCCTTAATTTAGCAGTGTAAGAAGGCAGCTAGTCATCACCACCCACCGCCAACTCTTGGGCTACTCTTTTTACCAACAAATAGTGGGATTGACCATCACATAATAACCCCTACGGCTGAAAGAGCGGGTATGTTTGGTGGGATGGGGATTCGAACCCTCAACCCTCAGTTTGCGAGTGGAGCACTCTAACCACCTGGCCATGCTGTATTTACCGCTACAAGATACGGCATAAAGATATAAACATACTTAGCTTAGGTGACGTAATTCTTAAAGCTTATGAACCGGATGATGAATTGTAAACATAAGGAAACTTTTCCACAAGTTGATTTCCAAAATGATTGTAAATATCAGATTTTAATATGCCAGTTTCAACAAATTTTACTATTACTTTTTATTTCTTACTCAATACATTTAATAAAATAGCCTTAAGGAGCTTTTAAGAATCATTATATAGCAATGTTTTTCAAGCTGTATTAATAATAGTTACTCGAAGTTCGCTGGGAAAACATTAGTGTAAAGTAATTAACATGTAATAGTTTATGTGTTTTAAACAACAAAAATAAAATAAACAAAAGCAGGAAATAATCGAAACGACTAATACTATTCTATTGATGGTAAATTTGTAATGTAGTTGCTTTAAACTAAACTTCAATATCAGTTTATCTGGATACTATAAATTCAATCTGAACAACACATGGGTCAAAGGGCCAGGTCAGACTCATCTATTATTCAGGTATGATCGTTTCTAACTTTGAACTACTGGTTAGAGACAAAGCAGCCAGTCAGGAGCCACCATAAAGGCTTTGTTCAGGCCTGGAACCAAAGAGCGGAGTTGACAGTCATTCTTATAACACACTCAAAGCTTCAGGTGTAGATTGTGCTCAGTGGCATCGCTACGCCAAATGTATATCTTTCTTTCCGAAGCCAGCACGCCAACCCCCCGCCCATATTAATGTGGGATTAAAAAATAAGGAAGATAACTATTGAAAATGACAAGTGTGAGTTCCTCTGTTGATGATTAAACAAACTACTGGAAATGACAAGTGTGAGTTCCTCTGTTGATGATTAAACAAACTATTGAA